CGGGGCTGATCCTGCCACATGTTCTCACTTCGCTCTCTGGCTGTGGCTTAAATATGTTACCCTCCTTCTTAACTCTGTTCTCCTGGAGGTGCTACCCCCGTGGCTGATGGACTGGGCCTTGGCCAGCGGTGGGTTCGTCTTGGAGCCAGCTGGCGTTGGCTTCATCGGACATGGGGGAAGCTTCTGGCACCTTCTGACAGAAGCCATCCCTGTAGCCCCCTGCTACCAAAACCTTGCCACGCAAACCCAACACAGCATCCCACAGCCAACGTGTTCCAAACTCACTGAGCGTCTCCTCGCCATCAGCAGATGGGAGAACAGCGATTTTCACTGAGACCCTTGGAGACGCAGAATGGGAAAGTGGGGGCTGAGAACACATGGAGTCTGTCGTGTCTGGCTAGCACATGCTTCGAGGCAGCTATCTATAGTTCAAAGAGCTGGCGATGCCAGCCAATAACCCTTTCCGGCCCTGGAGCCACAGCTCTGCCTGTTGCAGTGCAAAATATGGATGCGCGAAGCAGCTCATCTCTCAGACAGGGGAAAAAGTACAAATGGTGGATCTGGAAGAGGAAAAGGAGGGCAAAGAAGCACACTGGTAATCCTCGGTATGAGGAAAAGGAATAGGGAACCCTAGAAGAGGAGAGAATATAACTTTATGCAGCTTTTGTGCTGGGATTTTGGAAGAGGAGAACTGTGGAAGGAGGCTGTCTAGAATACAGCGAGGGAAGGACAACGTGCAGGGAACTTGCAGACAGCAAAGGAGAAAGGCAAAGGCTCCTTGTGGTACCAGGACCTTCTGCTGCTCTACTGACAGAGCTTATTACTTGTTCTGAGACTTCTTCCTATTCTGCCTTCTAATGTTGTAGACTCTTAAGACTGTTTTGATGAGGAGGGGGGAGGTATTTTTCAGAAGCAGCTTCCTTGAATGACAATAAGCTTGTGTCCAAGTCCAGCAATCCGAGTGCGTGGTTGTGTACCAGGACATCAGCTAGCTCTCGTTTCTCACGTACTCTCGTGACAGACAGTGTCATCTGCTGAAAAGGGTTACTGCAAAATGTGTCTTGCAGTGAGGGATCTTGTGTTTGCTTGGAGGGAGAAAGCAGTCTATAATTGGTAAGCTTGCCTTCTTTGCAGGAGCAAAACAGTTTTTGAGGGGGTTGCATCTGGGGATAGAAAGAAAATTTTGGATACCATTGGGGACTCCCAAGTTTTCACGTTAAACCTTTGTTTCTCATGATCTAGTGGGGAGGCAAGAAAGTCTAGAAGCTTTCCTAGGTTCAGCCTGCTTGAAAATCACAGTTTAAAAAGATGAAAAGTAATTTTAAACACTATGTTTTAAAGACAACTCAAAAGATTTTGGATAATTCTGTTTCTTAGGAGTCTGAGCCAAGATCTTACAAAGAGAGCCAGTTTCTCAAGGAGAGATGCTCAGCCTTTTCAGTTGATTATGCCCTTTTAAACTGTCATCTCGGACTGTGCTTGGTCCTTTGTTTGTAAGAGGACGTGGAACCATCAGAGTGAATGAAGTTACAGTCGCTTGTGTGCAATACAGATTTTACTTGAGGAGCAG